TATCTATGGAGTTGTTGACGTTAATGAGCTTTGCCTAGTACCTGATTTGGTTATCTCACCCAAATTTAAAACTTCAGATTTTAAAAGATACGATAGAACAAAATGCCCTTCTGTTTATATTACCATGTTCTGTCAAAAGATGACGGGTCATACCCAAAATGATAAACTCTTGATACACTATTTTCAAGACAGTTTAACTAGATCAGTAGCAAGATGGTATGTATAGTTAGATCAGAGAAAATTCCATTCATGAAAAGAGTTAGCCAAAACTTTTATTGCTCAATATAAGCATGTCTTTGATACGGCCTCTGATAGGTTGTCATTACAAAATATGAAAAAAAATCAACAGAAACTTTCAAGAAATATGCACATTGATGGAGAGATGCAGCAGCCCAGGTTCAACCACCACTGACTCAAAAAGAGATAAATGTGCTATTTGTCAACACATTGAAAGTCTCATACTATGACAGGTTGGTGAGGAATGCCACGAAAAAGTTCTCTGACATGGTGATCTCGAGAGAAATGATAGAAAATGCTATCAAAAGTGGCAAAATTGAAGGGCTTGAAAAGAAAATAGCAAATTCAAAAAAGAAAGAGCAGGAGACACATGCTGTCACTTACAAAAATTCTTCGTATCTTTTTTTTGTCTTATATAATCCAAACCCTTAATACCCTCCTTACTACCCTACCACCAACCAAATTTCTCAAAAACCATCTCATCACCGAACACCCTAACAACCACTGTCCAGACTAAGCTTTAGCCCCCAACCATCCCATTACACCTCTGTACCTCTAACTCGACTATTTGTCCAACCAACCCACCAAAATAACAATCAAAGAAACTCATAAAATAATAACAATAAAAAAAGACCTTATTTCGATCCTATTCCTATGTCTTATACCGATTTGTACTCTCAGTTGATAAGAAGTCATCTCATCGCTCCTTCCTACGTAAAGCCATTAAAGCCACCTTACTCGAGCTGGTATGACCCTAACGCTAAGTGTGATTATCATTATGGTGTTACAGGATATCCTACTAAAAATTGCATAACACTTAAACATAAGGTGCAGGGTCTGATAAATGACGGCCTCTTAACTTTTGACACCAAATTCAAGCAAGTATCGGTGAAAATCCTTTACCAGATTACACCAAAGGAAAATTAATATAGTGGGTAAGGAAAAATATGTAAAGATCAAAAGGTGTGTGGATGAAATAAAGACCCATTTTGAATGGGTGTATAACTGTTTATGTAAGACGAGTATGATTCAACCATTATTTTTAGATAACAATAGAAGTCATGGAGATCCCGACCAATTTTACAAATACCATGGAAGATCAGTTGGACATTCGATCCAAGGTTGTGAGGTCTTTAAACGAATATTGCAGAGCTTGATGGATGAAGCCATAATTAAGTTTTATGATGAATGTGATGAAAGTAGTGTGAATACAATGGGTGGTGAGTGTCCTGTAAGTTTTTCATACCCAAATCTCTCACTGTCTACTATGATATGAAATCGGAGCCCCTAACAGAGAAAACCATCCCCTCTTTCAAGATACCAATGACCATTTATATTCCTAGTCTATTCCCTTATCGGACTGACAAAGCAGTCCCATGGAGATACGATTGTGATGTGGTGATGCAATGGCTTAATAAGACCTTAAATGATCAAAGTATAGGGAATACTGCTAACATAACAAGAATAGGAGAAATAACCCGAAGCGATCGGATTTACACTCTTGAAATGTCAGAAAAGGCTAAGAAAGGGAAAGTAAGATTCTCAGCAGATGGTAAGCTCAAAAATATAGGTTAATAAATCGATGTAAAAAAAAAAAGCTTGTGAGTTTCTAAAAATCATTAAGCACAGTGAGTACAGTGTGTTGACCAATTAAATAAACTACTAGCTCATATTTTTTTACTGTCACTATTGTTAAATTTTGAGCCATATAGGAATGCTTTACTGAAAGTGCTCAACCAAGCTTATGTCGAGCATAATATTTCTGTTGAGAAGGTAGATCACATAGTTGAGAATATTATAACCCTGAATTTCATCACCTTCAATGATGATGAAATACCTCCAAAAGGACGTGGTAGTGTTAAGGCTTTACATATCATTGTCAAGTGTAAGTCTCACACTATGGTTAAAGTATTGATTGATAATGGATCATCTATTAATGTTATGCCTTTGATGACATTGTCAAAGCTTTCGGTGGATCCCTTTCACATACCAAATAGTCATATGATTGTAAGAGCATTTGACGGAGCATGAAGAGAGGTAATTGGTGATATAGAGATCCCATTACGGATTGGTCTTTGTACTTTTAATATCATATTTCAAGTAATAGACATAACTCCTGCATATAGTTTTCTATTAGGAAGACCTTGGATTTACATGACTGGTAAAATTCATCGTGGAAGAAAAACAAGTCTATGTGGATGATGAGAAAGATTTATTAGTAACAAAGACCTTAACTACTCCCTACGTTAATATGACAGAGGAAGCAATCGAATGTTCGTTCAGAGTTTTTGAAGTGGCAAATGCTACTTATGTCAGAGAATGGTCAAGGATACCGATCTCTCAATTGTCAAAAGCTATAAATATGATGATCAAATAGACTGTTGGCAAGGGTTGGCGAGCCGGATAAGGCTTAGGGAAAGCTCTACAAGGAATCACAAGAACACCATGCTCGATTGAAAATAAAAAAAAGATAGAGGTTAGGCTATAAGCCTACAGCTGCTGATAAAAAGAATGTAATGCTGGAGAAGAAAGAAAAAAGAATGGTACGCCTCAAAGGGCAAGATTTGATTGATAGAAAAATGATGTTCCCTTATTTGTATGAAACTTTTCATTTAGTCAGGTATGTCTATCTTAGGTCAACGGAGGTTGAACAAAGGAAACCAGTAATGGGATTGGAGGAAGCTTTCTCTTGATTTCAAATTGAAACAGATGAAGGAATGATGCATGATGAAGAGATTATTTTTCTTTTGTAGGCCAAGAGACCTGAAAATGGTGTACTATTTTGTTGTCCTTGAACCTTTTAACTTGAAAATTCCAATTGCTTTTTTGCCTAAGAGCATGCGGAGGTTAAATGTATGGGTTTATTTTCATTGTTTTAATAAAATGATGAATGCAATGCATTTCACTTATACCATGTTCTCTATTTTTCTTTTTTTTTTCTTTTTATTGCCACCATCTTTGCCCTTGCCAATATCAATAAATATTTCTTTGTGATTATACCCATTTTCAGGTTTTCTAATAATGAACATTATGGATGACCAAGGCAATAACATCAGGTTTGATTTTGAAAATTCAATTCATATTAGCAAGCTTGATAATGATGTTGATTTAGAAGACTATGATTTACCTCATGATCTATTGAAATGGATGAAATAAGAGAAAAAATTATAGAATCCCACCAAGAATCAACTGACCCATTAAATTTAAGAGATTGTGAGAATAAGAAAGAAGTTAGGATCGGTACTTCATTATCACCAATTGAGAAGTAGAAGCTGGTGAATCTGCTATAAGAGTACATGGATATATTTGTATGGTCTTATCAGGATATGTCTGGACTTAACATGGAGGTGGTTAAGCATAAATTACCTTTAAAATCAAAATATCGACCAGTACAACAAAAATTGAGACGCATGAACCCAAAAATGTTACTGAAGATAAAAGAAGAAATAAACACTAGTTTCTTAGAAGTAGCCAAGTACCCTGAATGGGTAGCCAATATAGTCTCAATTCCTAAGAAAGATGAAAAAGTTAGATGTGTGTAGACTATCAAGATTTAAATAGGGTTAGCCCAAAGGATAATTTTTTATTGCCACATATTGATACCCTTATGGATAACACTGCTAAACACTCTACTTTTTCATTCATAAATGGGTCTTTTGACTGTAATCAGATCAAGATAGCTCGTGAAGATATAGAAAAAACTACATTTGTGATAATATGGGGCACATTTTGCTATAAAGTTAAGCCATTTGGGCTAAAGAATGCTGGTGCCACATATTAAAGGGCAATGGTTACTCTTTTTCATGATATGATGCACAAAGAGATAAAGGTGTATGTTGATGATATGATAGTTAAGTCTCAGGAGGGTGAAGATCATGTTGTTAATCTTAGAAAGCTTTTTAAAAAATTACAGAGATACCAACTCAAGCTGAATCCAGCTAAATGCACCTTTGGTGTTAAATCTGGAAAATTGTTAGGGTTTATAGTTAATGAAAGAGGTATAGAAATAGACCCTGATAAAATTTGAGCCATTCAAGAGTTATCAGTACCACACATGCAAAAGGAAATAAAAGGTTTTTTGAGATAATTGAATTCTATTTCTCATTTTATATCTCAACTTATCTCGAAATACGATCTAATTTTCAGGTTGCTTCATAAAAATAATCTTAATGCATGGGATAAAGAATGCCAAAATGCATTTGAAAAGATTAAAGAGTATTTGATAAGCCCACTAGTGTTAGTACCACAAGTTATAAGAAGGTCATTGATCTTATATCTAACGATTCAAAAAAAAATCAATGGGATGTGTATTAGAGCAAAGAGATAAAACTGGCAAGAAAGAGCATGCTATCTACTACTTGAGTAAAAAGTTTACGGAGTATAAGGTCAAGTACCCCTAAATAGAAAAAATATGTTGTGCTTTGGCTTAGACTACTTGTAGACTCAGGCAATACATGCTTTACCATACGACTTGGCTAATATCGAAATTGGATCCTCTTAAGTACATTTTTGAAAAACCATTTTTATCAGGCAGGATAACGAGATGGCAAGTCATGCTCTCAGAATATGATATTATGTATATGACACAAAAATTCATAAAAAAAAGTGCAATTGCTGATTTTCTTGTTGATCTAACTATAGAGGATTATGAACCTATGAAGTTTGAGTTTTCAGATGACGATTTGATGGCAATCTTGCAGGACGAAGATGAAGAGCCTGTAAGAAAAGTGTGAAAAATATTTTTTGATGGGACATCCAATATAATGGGGCATGGCATTGAGGCGGTGCTAATATCTCCAGAAGAGAATTATTACCCTTGTACTACAAGGTTAGATTTTAATTGCACAAATAATGTTACTGAATATGAAACATGTATCATAAGGTTATAGATGGCCATTGAAAAGAAAATTGAAACACTAGAAGTATAGAGGGATTCAACCTTAGTAATTTATCAACTAAAAGGTGAATGGGAGATCAGAGACCCAAAATTAGTATTATATCAAAGGCACATAACCGGTTTGATGAAACATTTTAAAGAGATTCAATTTCAGCATGTTCTTCGAGAAAAAAATTAGATTGCTGATGTCTTGGCTACTTTGGCAGCAATGTTCAAGTTAAATAATAATACGAAAATTCAGTCAATCAGAGTACAAATAAAAATTTCACCAGCCCACTGTTCAAACATAGAAGAAGAAGTAGATCGACAATCGTGGTACTATGACATTGCGTAATATATCAAGTGTCAAAACTACCCAGAGCAGGCTTTAAAAAATGATAAGAGGATCATTCAAAGATTAGCAGCAGGTTTTATGCTTGATGGAAAAATCCTGTATAAAAAGAGTCGAGACCAAATTTTGCTAAGGTGCGTTGATGTTGTGAAAGCAAGAAAGACACTTGAAGAAGTACATGAAAAAATTTATGAAACACATGCTAACGGGCATATGATGGTTAAACAGATTATGAGAGCTGGTTACTACTGGTCTATAATAGAAAATGATTGCATCAGTTATGCTAGAAAGTACCACAAATATCAAATTTATGCAGATAAAATTCATTTCCCTCCAGTCTCGCTACACGTTTTAGCACTACCATGGCCTTTTTCCATGTGAAAAATGGATGTGATCGGACCCATAACCTCAAAAGCTTCAAATGAGCATCGATTTATTTTTGTAATGATCGATTATTTTACAAAATAGGTGGAAACAGCTTCATATGCTAGTATTACGCGATCAGTGGTGTGTAAATTTATAAAAAAAAAAGAGATAATATGTCAGTATAGGCTCTCAAAAAAGATCATCTCAGATAATGCTAGCAACTTAAATAATAAAATGATGAAAGAATTATGTACACAGTTTAAGATAAAATATCATCATTCAGCATCATATTACCCAAAAATGAATAGTGCAATAGAAGATACGAATAAGAACATAAAGAGAATATTAAGAAAAAAGATTGACACATATAAAGACTGGCATGAAAAGTTACCTTTTGCTCTACTTGCTTATAGAACATCAATCTGAACCTCCATAGAGGCCACCCCGCTTTCACTAGTGTATAAGATGGAAGTTATACTACCAATTGAAGTGGAAATTTCTTCTCTAAGAGTGTTGATAGAGGCAAAACTTGATGAAGTAGAATGGGTCCAGGATCGTTTCGAGTAATTAAATCTTGTTGAAGAGAAAAGGCTTTCAACACTCAGTTATGGATAAATATATCAAAGAAGAATCATACGAGCACATAACAAAAAGATACAATCTCGATGCTTTCATAAGGGTGAATTGGTTTTGAAAAGGATTTTGCCATATCAGCATGACAATAGAGGAAAATGGACGTCCAATTGAAAAGGTCCATATGTAATAAAAAAGGCCTTCTTTGGTGGAGCTCTGATCCTTACAGAAATGGACAGTGATGGATTGCCAAATCTTATAAATTCAGACACTGTCAAGAAATATTTTACTTAAAAAAAAGAGAAAATAATACAAAAAAGAATGAAGTGATTCAGATTGAAAATTCAAAAATGGCGATTTGAATCAAAGGGGGTCATTTGAGCTGAAAACCTGAAAAAACGGCTTGAATGAAGGTAAAGCTCGAAGAAAGTCTTTCAAAGAACGAAAGAGTGGCACCAAATAAATGAATTGTCACCAGAATTAAAAGAGATGACTTTTAGGGGGTAAGTTCTCATTAGTCACAAATGTGGGGCAAGAATTGGTCTTATGAAATCACATGTGACAAGATCACAAATGTAACAAGTTTTTGGAAAAAACCTGGTATGAATAAGCCGAGATCTTTCAAATGTTTATTATCTAGAGAACTGATATTTGATTCTTGAAATACTTTTGAGTTAATTGTTCTTTATGTCTCGAAAAGCTTATCTTTCTAAACCTGAAATACCCTATTACCGATCGTGTTTCACACTCAACTTTGAACCTGAAATCATTGTATTTGTCATTTAAAATTAAGATAATGATTGATAAAGTTCACAATAAACCAATGCATCACTCGAAAATAGAATGCAATATGAGGATGACAGAAATAGTAATATAAAAAAATGAAATGAAATTGATTGAGTACTGAAAACAAAAAAGAAAAAGGGGATAAAGAATAAAAATGAAGATTTTAAAGCGATCAAAAGTCAAACGGATCCGTCATAAGACAGAGATTTCTGATCAAAAATTAAAAGATTTAAAAGGACGAGATTACTGGAAGCGACTTTTAAAGTTTGAAAGAACTGAACCAAAAATTGAATTAAGTTGGATAAAAATGCATGATATAATTTGTTGACGGCATCTTTGTCTTTTTGTTCATCACAATCATTGCACGCGTTATATATTTCTTGATAAGTTGCATAGAAGGTTTCTTTATAAGACATCAAGAAGAATCAATATTTTTTTTTTCGAAACAAAGATGATGGCCTTGAAGATGGCATGTTAGCACAATCCTTAAAATTAAAACTGTCAATCTATAGGGTACCTAATCCCCTTCAACTCACAGCTCAGTCTTATTTATTTCCCTAACTTATGATTTAGTCCTAGTCATCGTTAATATTTGGCTTGTGGTTTAATCTCGATCATTTTTATAGTTTTCGACTTGTAGTTTAATCTCAGTCACTTTTACTTTCTGACTTACGATTTAGTCCAAGTCGTCTTTAATCTTTGACTTACGATTTAATCTCGATCTTCATTATTTCTCTGACTTACGGTTTAATTCTGGTCTCTTTATTTTTTTACTCGCGGTTCAATCCCGATCTCTTTACTCTTAAATCATGATTTAGTATCGACTGTTGTTATTCTCTGACTTACGATTTAATCCTGATCTCTTATTCTCTAATTCGTGATTTAATCTTGATCTTCAGTATTTCTCTAACTTACGATTTAATCTCGATCTCTTTATGTTCTGACTCGCAGTTTAATCCCGATCTCTTTACTTTTAAATCACGGTTTAGTCTCGACTATTGTTATTCTCTGACTCGTGGTTTAATCCCGATCTCTTTATTTTTTAACTTGTGATTCAATCTAAGTTAACGTTATTCTCTGACTTATGGTTTAATCCTGATCTTTTTATTCTCTGATTCGCGATTTAATCCCGATCTTCATTTTTTTTTTGACTTGTGGTTTAATGCCAGTCTTTTTATTTTTTTGACTCGCAGTTCAATCCCGATCTCTTTACTCTTAAATTACGATTTAATCCCGTTGTTGTTATTCTTTGACTTGTGGTTTAGTCTCGGTCTCTTTATTTTTTTACTTATGATTCAATCCAAGTTCAATCTTGATCTTATTATTCCTTGACTCGCGGTGTTATCCCGATCATTTTTTTTATTATTTAACTTACGATGTTGCCTTAAATGATTCTTTGTTTTTTAACTCACGATGTCATCTTGATCATTTTCTTTATCCCCTGACCTGTGGTTTAAAAAAAAATATTTTAAAAAATCCACGATTTGCTTCTGGACAAAATCATTGTCTTTGTCTTTGCCACATCCCTGATTCTCAGTAATGTACAAAGAGGGACAACTGTAGACACCAATTTTATCCAGGTCTACTATCTTCAGTTCTAGTTTAATATTAATAATAATAATTTTAATAATAATATTAATAATAACATCGATTTAATTAAAAATTAAAAATAAAAATATTATAATAATCATTAAAAAAAATAGAAGACAGAAAATAGAGGGTTGGTACGACATCGTTGCCACCCCTGTCCAGCCTTCTGCCTGACTTCATCTGATCTTGCCACCCTACCTAGTCCCATCAGACCATTGACCCATGTGACCAGATCGGACAGCCACCAGACCAAACAATCACCTCTGCGGTCGTTCCTACAACTACCCCTACAACCCTTAAGACACCCATACCGACACAGATCAGACTCTATAAAGAACCCAACTTCATCTCCTTCTACTCTCTCTCGGACACCCCTCAAAATTCTCAAAAACGCGAAAACTCCCACACCCAAAAAACCCAAACACTGTTCCCTACCACCCCTAGAAATCCCAAACTATTCCACAACCAAAATAATAACAAAAAAAAACAACAAACAAAAGACAAAAATAAAAACACAGTCCTCCCCATAGGGAGGAACCTAGCATCGAGCAACCTAGCACCGAGCCACCTGCACCAAAGAAAAAGGCATCAGTTAGTTTCCAAACAAAAAAATAAAAAAAAAGAGGAAAAAAAAGAACACAAAAAACTTCAAGCCTAGATTTACGACGATTGAGGCTACTTCTATTGAAAAAGACGACAGATCTAAACTCAAAAGGTCAAAAGGAACCTCCAGGTTAGTTTTGAAATTTTTGGTCACCGACGATCACCAGCGACCATTGTCGCCAGTAATCCAGGCGACGGTAGGCGCGACGGTTGGACGACTGGACGGCGGGAGATCTGGAGCTCTCCTCTCTGACGCTTTTTTTTTCTGGAACAGAAGAAGAATGAACCAAAAAAAAATTTAGTTATATATAAAAGCCTAAAGCTCAAAACGACGTTGTTTTGAGCATAGAAGGATCCACGCATGCCTGTTACCCGACCCAAGATTCGCACAAATCGACCTGCCAACCTACTCAACCAGACTTCAATCGGTTCAACTAAACCGTGTGTTGAACTGTCACTCAACCGATTCAACCGAATCGCTTATTGAGCCATCCCTGTTTTCGACCCAACTGAACCGCCGTTGACTGGTCCAGTTCAGGTAATTTTTTTTTTAATTTTATAATTTTTTTATATATTATTATTTTTGTTATTTTAAGTTTTTTTTTATATATTTATGCATGATAAATTGTAAAATTTTTTAGAATAAATATTTAATTGTTTTAATAATAACAAAAATGAAAACAAGTAAGATAATAATTAAAAATATATATTAAAAATGCTTAAAAATAATAATAATAATAATCTAAAAAATAGTAATAAAAATTAAATTTTTATTTATTTTCCTTGCCTAGATGTTGGAGGGAATAAAAACACATTTCTAAAAATAATTTCACCTAGATGTTGGAAAATTATAAAAAGAAAATTAATAAAAGGTATAAAAAAATTAAATTAACAATAAAAATAATACTAATAATAAAATTAATGTTATTGTTAAGAATAAGTTTTCATAAAAAGGGAAATATATGAATATTTTTAATAAATTTTCAAAAATCATAAAAATCGAATTTGCTTCGAAAATTCACCTAGATGTTAAGGATTTTTAGAGATGTTCGCGTTTTCTTTAAATCCTAAATTAAACCCTATATCCTTTAAATCCTAAAACCAAAACTTTAAAGCTAAAACCCTAAAACTGAAACCCTAAAATCCAAAATCCTAAACCTATACTCAAAATATTTTCGAATTTTAAAGATACGTGCAAAAATCTTAAGTAGAGTAATTTGTTCTTGAATGTCGCCTAGATGATAGGGTATTTAAAGAAATCTTATTCCATTAAGTTTTTCTCATGAGTCCTTAATTCGCTTTAACAATGGAGTTAATAATTGTTTAATAATAAAATGAGAATAATAATAAAATGGGATCTTAAATATAAATAGTCATACCTAAGCTCTACCTAGACATTGGAGAGTCAAAGTGGTCTCATTATATTTAAGAATCCAATTTCAAGTTTATATTTCATCATTATACATAGCACCTATTAGCTTACATGTATTTATTTGTTATTGTTTGCACTTGTTTGCATTTCTCTATCTTTAATTTCTACTTGTTATCTGATAATAACATCATTTACTTTTTTGCACAAAAATATTTTTTTAATTTACTTATTTTTAAAATTATGATATTATAAAATAAAACAAAAATAACATTCTAAAAGAAATAATTCTTGGTACTCTGCCTAGATGTTGAAAGTCACTGATAATTATCTTTTACAAAGAGTGTTATTTTTATTTTTATTTTAAGGAGTATTTTGTTTAATCTTAAGCGAAATGATTATTTTAAATTCTACCTAGATGTTGAAGAATTTTAAGATAATTCTTTAACTTAAAGATTTCTTCAATATTCCTAAAAAAGAATTTTAACCAAAATTTATTTTTTAAAAGTGAAGGGAATTAGTGTTAAATTTTAAATTGAAACCATTTTTATCCAATACGAAAAATAACGTGTAATTAAATGGTACCAATTTATGGGCGTTGTGGGGGTGTAATCATTCCCCACACATAATCGATTCCCGGACCTAACCTATTTTTCGTAGATCAAAATTTATTTTTTTGATAAACTTTAAACCTGCTTTTATAGTTTTATTAAAAAGATAAATTTTTTTTGTGACTCCTCTTTTTTTTTTTTTGATTTTAAAACACTTTACGTCTAGCAGTCAAAAAATCGTTACGACACTCATCAAGTACAAGTTGTTTGACCTTCCATACATCAAATAAACCATTTTTTTGTAAAATTTATTTAATTAAAAAATGACAAAAACTAAAAAAAAAGGAAATAATAAAAAAAAAAAGCCAAATGAGGGTGCCACGTAGACATTTCATTTGGCCATTTATGTTTTCAAACATAATTAAGAAATACTAAGATAAATAATTTAAAATATAACAAAAATTAATAAAAAACTAAAATTAAAAGAAATAAAAAGAGACAAATTAAAAAACTAAAAAATAAAGTCAAATATGGATGTCACATGAACATCTTCCATTTGAAGATAGCA